CTATTTTGTAGTTCTCTAGAGAGATGCTTTTTAAACATTACTTTCCAAATATAGTGCTATATGGTTAGTAAAATTAGATATCAAACTATATATTTTTTGCTAATGAATATTGGTCTAAAAATAAAAAATAATTTTGAGAGATTAGTTATATTTTATCATAGCGGATTCCCAACAGGCATATGCCTATTTTTTCAAGGCTATTTATCTCAAGAAGATTTCAAAGCATAAATGAATTATATCTTAGTTAAATTGCAAGTTCTATTTACCAAAAATGTTCATTCATTTAAACTGAGAGACAATCTTATACAGACTTATATATCAAGTAACTACAGAGATTTTTTAAAAATCTTGAATTCTGAGACACGTGCCTGAAATTTACATACCTTGGAATAGTGGGACTATGCCTGTCTCTCTCAAATTCTCTAATGGTTGTTATTACTGCTAAAGAAAGCTTTGCTATCTAATATTTAAGTGGAAAGAGCCATAGCATACTAAAAGGTAAATAGTGTAATAAACTAAGAGCCAGCATTTGGGGGGTTGCAGTTTAGCTATAGTATTGGCTAGCTTGGAGATGTCAGCCAAATGACTTTAGACAAGCCATTTCCAAACTTTGTGAGTCAGCCACCTTATGTGTAAAATTAGGGGACTGAAATGGACAATTTTTAAAGCCCCTTTCAATGGATGTAAGAATGCTAGTATCAGCCATTTAAGACACACAAAGGACATATTATTTGCTTTCTTTTTTATATGAATTTTCCTTCCACAGAAAACCAACTGTAAATTCTAGCATCTATAGCAGGCATCTACCAAACTGTGAAAATGGAAAATAGAAAATAAAGGGGGGAGGGTAGTCTAAGCAATATGGCAACCTGATGTGACACTTTGAAGTACTTTTTTTCATTAAGTACAACTACAGTACTCTTTGTTTCACAATATTTAACTGCAAAGTATTGCTACATATTGTTGGGGTAAGAGGAAATCTCTCTTTCTGATGAATGTTTCTGTGATTTTCAAAAGTGATTTTCTAGTGATTTTTCAAAAGCACTTTCTTTCAGCAATCACAAAGTGCACACTATGTAATCCAAGACTGCGGCAGCATATGTGTTCCTCACTATTTAGGAAGAAATACACAAACACATTATAATAATTTTGCAAAAAAAAAATAATAATAATTTTGCATTGTTTGGCAAACTCCAGGTAACAAAGACATTTGGAGGGGGGTATGTGTGTGTGCATATATATATGTACATATATACACATATTTTATATGTGTATATATATATTTTTTTTGACCCTTGAACAAGACAGGTTTTGACTGCAGTGGTTCACTTATACCCAGATTTTTTTCAATAAATATATGGAAAATTTTATCAGAGATTTGCAACAATTTGAAAAAAATGTGTAGCATAGAAAGATCCAAAAAATTAATAAAAAGTTAAGTATGTCAAGAATGCATATAATATATGTAGATACTAGTCTATTTTATCATTTACTAAATAAAATATGCACAAATATTTTATAAAAAGGTAAAATTTAACAAAACTTACACACACACTTACAGACCATACATGTCACTGTTCACAGCTGAAATAAATGTAAACAAATGTAAAGATGTATTATTAAATCTTAAGTGTATAAAATTAACTAATACATATTGTAATACCATAATAATTTTGTAGCCATCTCTTGTTGCTGTTTTGGTGAGCTCAGGTATTACCAGTGTCCATTTAAAATGCAGTGACGCTAATCATCTTCAGATAAGCAGTTCATCTTTCCAGTAGATTGTACATCATAGTAAAAAGTGATCTTTCACAGTTCTCATGTATTTTTCATTGTCTTTAGTGCAACATAGTAAATCTTGACTAACACGATGGGACACATTCAAAGTGCCACTAGAAATGCTGGGTCAGAAGTGCTCCCAAGTAGCAGCAAAAAGTCATGACATTACAAGAAAATGTTGAATTACTTGATATGCACCACAGAGTGAGGTCTGCAACCGTGGTTGCCTGCCATTTCAAGATAAATGAATCCAGTGTATCAACCATCATTTAAAAAATAAGAGGAAACTTGTGAATCTGTCACTACAGCTATATCAGAAATTATGAAAACCTTGCACTTTTACGAAGTTTTCTTTTTATCTCATGTTGAAAATGAAGCTTTTAAATGGGTGCAGGATCACTATAAGGAAGGCTTTCCTATTGGCTCTAATATGATTTGAGAAAAAGCAAAGTTATTATACGACCACTTAAAGTAAAAGGAAGGTAAAGGATCTAAAGCTAGAGAATTTAATGCCAGCAAAGGATGGTTTGATAATTTTAAAAAGATGATTGGCTTAAAAAAATGTCAAGATAATAGGAGAAGCAGCTTCTGCCAACCAATAGGCAGTAGATGAGTTCTCAGATGTCATTAAGAAAATCATTGACAAAGAAAAGCTATCTGGCTAATCAGGTTTTCAATGAAGACAAAAGTGCCCCATATTGGAAAAAAAATATCAAAAAGGATATTTATTAGGAAGGAAGAAATGCGAGCACCAGGATTTAAGGCAGGATAAAATAGAATAACTGTTTTTTTGCAAATGCTGTCAGATTTATGATCAGGATTACCCTTTTCTATAAAGCTGCTAACCCTGAAATAAATAGGTTAGCATTTATTTAGCCTTGAAGGAAAATGATAAACACCAGCTGCAAATCTTTTGCTTGTACAACAAGAAGGCCTGGATCAGATTCCTTTTTCTAGATTTAATCCATCAGTGATTTGTCTTTAAAGTCAGGAAGCACCTTGTCAGTAAGGGATTGCCTTTTAAAGTTTTTTTTGACATTGGACAATGCCTTTGGCCATCCAGAAACCCATGTTGAACCCCCTGAGTTCAACACCAAAGGCCTCAAAATGATCTACTTGCTACCAAACACAACATCTCTAATTCAGCCTCTAGATCAGGGGTCAAAAGAACATTTATCACTGATTACACAGAATAGAATACTCTATGGAAAGAGAACCTTGATAGAGAGAATATCATGGAGATAACAAAAAGATGACCAAATAAACACATGTAGTGTGTGCCTTCTCCACAGAGAGGAACCAGAATAGTAAGCAGAGTTTTACATTTTGAATAGGTTGTCTAGGAGAGAACACTAGGATTCACAAGGGAAGTGACAAGAGGCACCAAAAGTGGATGAGGAGAGGGTCAAGGGTGACTTGCCTGCCTGGGGACTGGCTAAGAGCAGGAAGAAGCTCCTTGATGCAGGGATACAGAAAGAGAGAAGCCCCCAGCAGTCTACTATCTAAGACAAGCTTTTATGATCTTGAGTACATGAAAACCCTCTGATCCATGCAGGTCTCGGGCCTAACATAGGGAGCTACTTGGAGATTGCACAGAGATGTTGCTCCAGACAGGAAACCCACATGGAATCGCATCAGCATCCAAGCCTACAGCAGCTTGAGCCAGGTGCCATTACGAGAGCCTAGATGCCAGGGAACTTCAGGCATACTTGCAGCCACTGTGAAGCCCTGAGGAGGGATAGAGGAACCCAGGTACAAGTAGGCACCCATGGAAAGATCCCCAGCACCCTGCCTCAGGTTGCTTTTGAAACTGAGATGTGAACTGATAAATTTTCCATAGTTTCTTACCCATGCTACTTAACTGGATGGGGCCCCAACTTTTCTCTATGCAGGTCCAAGGTGCCACTGGGCTAGTTTGGGCCGATGTGGCTTCAAGCCCTGACTGGCTGGAGAGGGGCAGGGAAACCAGGATCTCCAGCACACATCTGGGATGTTGCCTACCATCCTGCAGGTGGCTGCTGTGGAACTGAGTCTTGAGTGAACTGCACTCCCTACAGTTTCCTGCCAATGTACCCTACTGAGAAAGGTCCTACTCTCTCTGATCACAGGCACAAGATGGCATTTTGTGAGTTTAGAGCTGAATGATGCCCCACACTCAGGCTGAGTTTGGGTCCATGCAGCTAAGGCACACCCAGCTGAGGAGGTACAGGGGAGCCCAAGCTCTCCCATGTACTCCTAGGACAATTCCCACTGTCCTGCTCCAGACTGCAGTGAGAACAAGACACAAGAAGACGGCACTGCCCCCAGCATCTCCATGCTATTTGCGTTGAAGGAACCCCATCCTCTCTGGTCACAGATCCAAGGTAACATTTTGTAAATTTAAAGCTTGGCAGTGCCCCACCCTTGGGCTGACTTCGGACTAAAGCGCTGCAATTCTACCCAGCTGAATAAGGACAGGAGAGCCCAAGGTCTCTTATGCATACCTGGGACAATTACAACAGCCCTGTTACAGGCTCTTGCAAGTCTGAAACATGAACAGACTGCACTCCCCACAGTTTCTTATCCATGCCACTTGCCCAAAAGGGGTCCTGCCCTCTTTTATTACAAGCTGTGGCTGGCACCATTTTGAAATTTTAATACTGGGATGTACCCTACCCTCAGGCTGAGTTCAAGGTGATGTGGCTGCAATCACCACCTAGCCAGGAAGATGTAGAGGTGAACAAGCTCTTCTAAGCACACTTAGGGAAATACCCATCACCCTGTTATAGGCAGCTATAGGACAGGGCAATAGCCTTCCCAGTCCATTGCAGCTACCAGCAACATCAACATAGACCACTTGGGTCTTTGTAGGTGGCTCCACCAGTGCCACTACCATCCTCACATCACATCAGCTGCTGAGGGGACTGAGATTCCACCCAGATACCTGCTCCAACAACTAGCTTGTGAACAAGCTACCTGAAGGCCTAAGAATTGCCCCACTCCCCGCCCCAGACACATTAACACCACTACCAGCATAAGCTGCTCTGGGATCTAAAATGAGGTGTACTCAGCTCACTGCTGCCACCACTGCAGCCCAAAGACTGGTTCAGCTGGTGTTCAAATCCCAAGCAAGACTTCACCACAGCCTCAACTAATAACTGTTTCCTAAACCACTGAGGATATCACAGATACTACCGACTCTGTGTACTACCTAAGAAATCATACAAAGATCATTCTACTGCAGGCACCCAAAATCAAAGTCAAAGTGTCCTAGACAAACCAACAACACATATACGTATTAAGGAAAAAATTCTCTCTTTTGAAAGCAACACTATATGTTGTCTGCAAAAAACAAACTTCACCTATAAAGACATATACAGACTGAAAATAAAGGGGTAGAAAAAGATATTTAATGAAAATGAAAACTAAAATAGGGCAGTGGTAGCTATACTTCTACCAGACAAAATGGATTTCAAGGCAAAAACTGTAAAAAGAGACAAAGTAGGTTATTATATGATGACAAAATGGTTAATTCAGCAAGAGGATATAACAATTTTAAATATATATGCAACACTGGAACAGTTAGATATATAAAGCAAATATTATTAGAGCTAAAGAGAGAGAGAGACCCCAATACGATAATCATTGAAACCTCAACACTTAACTTTCAGCATTGGATAGATCACCCAGACAGAAAATCAACAAAGAAACATTGGATGTAATCTGCACTATAGACACAGTGGACCCAATAAATATTTACAGAGAATATTTCATCCAACAGTTGCAGAATATACATTCTTCTCCTCAGCTCATGGATCATTCTCAAAGATAGTCCATGTGGCAGGCCATGAAACAAGTCTTTAAAAATCCAAAAAAAATGAAATCATACCAAGTATTTTCTCTGATTGCAATGGAATAGAACCAGAAATCAAAAGCAAGAGGAATATTGGAACATATACAAATGTAAGGAAATCAAACAATATGCTCCTGAATGCCAGTGGGTCAATGAAGAGATCAAGAAGAAAATTTTAAAAATTCTCAAAGCAGATGAAAGTGAAAATACAACACATAAAAACCTATGGAATACAGAAAAAGCAGTAAGAAGGGGAAAGTTTATAGCAATAAGTGTCAACATCAAAAACATAGAAAAGCTTCAAATAAACAACCTAACAATGCATAACAAAGAACGAGAAAAATAAGAGCCAATCAAACCCAAAATGAGTAGAAGAAAAGAAATAATAAAGATCAGAACAAGAATAAATGAAATTAAAACCAAAAAAAGTCAATGCAAAAGATCAACAAAATGAAAAGTTGGTTTTTTGAAAAGATAAACAAAATGGACAAACTTTTAGCCAGAATAAGAAAAAAAGATAGAATACACAAATAAATATAATCAGAGATAAAAAAGGAGACATTACAACTGATACCACAGAAATCCAAAGGATCATTAGAACGTACTATGAGCAACTATATACCAAACAAGTTGGAAAACCTAGAAGAAATGCATAAATTTCTAGACACATGCAACCTACCAAGATTGAACCAGGAATAAATCCAAAACCTGAATAAACCAATAACAAACAATGAGCTAGAAGCAGTAATATAAAGTCTCCCATAAAAGAACAGCCCAGGACTCAATGGCTTCACTGTTGAATTCTACCAGTCATTCAAAGAAGAACTAATACCAATCCTACTTAAACTATTCCAAAAAATCTAGAAGGAGGGCATACTTCCAAACTCATTCTACAAGGCCTATGTCACTCTAATAACAAAACCAGACAAATGCACAACAAAAAAAGAAAACTATAGGCCAATATCTCTGACGAACATAAATGCAAAAATCCTTGACAAAATACTGGCAAACCAAATTCAACAACACATTAAAAAGATTATTCATCATGATCAAGTGGGTTCCATCCCAGGGATACAAGGATGGTTCAACATACACAAATCAATCAATGTGATACAGCATATCAACAGAAAAAAGCACAAAAACCATACATTCATTTCAATTGATGCTGAAAAAGCATTTAATAAAATTCAACATTCCTTAATGATAAAAACTCAAAACTGTATATAGAAGAAACTTACCCGAACACAATAAAAGCCAAGTATGACAGACACACAGCTAGTATTATACTGAATGGGAAAAAATTGAAAACATTTCCTCTAAGATCTGGAACAAGATAAGGATGCCTACTTTTACCACTGTTACTCAACATAGTACTGAAAGTTCTAGCTAGAGCAATCAGACAATAGAAAGAGATAAGGGGCATACAAATTGAAAAGGAAGAAGTCAAATTATCTGTGTTTGCAGACAATATGATTTTATATCTAGAGAAACCTAAAGATTGAGCACACACAAAAATTAGAACTGATAAATAAATTCAGTAAAGTTGCAGGATACAAAACCAATATACAAAAATTAGTAGCATTTCTCTGTACCAATGGTAAACAATCTGAAAAAAGAAACCAAGAAAGGAATCTCATTTACAGTAGCTATAAATAAAATAAAATACCTAGGAACTTCAACTTAACCAAAGAAGTGAAAGATCTCTGTAATGAAAACTATAAAACATTGATGACAGAAATTGAAGAGGACACACAAAAAATGGAAAGATATTCCATGCTCATAGATTGGAAGAATCAATATTTTTAAAATGTCCACATTACTCAAAGCAATCTACATATTCAATGCAATCCTCATCAAAATACTAATGACAGTCTTCACAGAAATACAAAAAACAATCCTGGTATTTATATGGAACCACAAAAGACCCAGAATAGCCAAAGCCATGCTGAGCAGAAAGAACAAAACTGGAGGAATCACATTTCTTGACTTCAAATTATACTGCAGAGCTATAGTAACCAAAAGAGCATGGCACCAGCGTAAAAACAGACATGTAGACCAATAGAACAGACTAGAGAACCTAGAAATAAATCCACTCATTTATAGTGAACTTATCTTTGACAAAGGTGCCAAGACCATACAGTGAAGAAAGGACAGTATCCTTAATAAATGGTTCTGGAAAAACTGGATATCCATATGTAGAAGAATGAAACCAGACACTTTTCTCCTTCCATATTCAAAAAGTAAATTAAAATGGATTAAGACTTAAATATGAGACCTGAAAGTATAAAACTACTAAAAAGTTGGGAAAATGCTTCAGGACGTTGGTCTGAGCAAGGATCTCTTGAATAATATACCCCCAAAGCACAGGCAACCAAAGCAAAATTGGACAAATAGCACAACATCAAGCTAAAAAAATTCTGCACAGCAAAAGAAACAATGAACAATTTGGAAAGACAACCCATAGAATGGGAGAAATATTTGAAAACTACCCATCTGACAAGGCATTAATAAGTAGAATATATAAGGAGCGCCAACAACTCAATAGGAAAAAAATCAAATAATCTATAATTAAAAATTGGACAAAGGAATTGATAGACATTTCTCAAAAGAAGAGATACAAATGACCAACAGGTATGTTCAAAATGCTCAACAGCATTAGTCACCAGAAAAATGCAAATCAAAAGTACAATAATATATCATCTCACCCCAGTTCAAATGGCTTTTATCAAAAAGGCAATAGGAAATGCTGGCAAGGATGTGGAGAAAGGGGAATCTGTGTACACTGTTGGTAAGGATGTAAATTAGTGCAACCACTATAGAGAATAATATGGAGGTTCCTCAAAAACTAAAAATATAACGACCATATGACCCAGCAATCTCACTGCTGGGTATATATGCAGAGGAGAGGAATTTAATAAATTAGAAAGATCTGCACTTCCATGTTTCTTGAAGCACTATGCACAATAGCTAAGATTGGTAATCAACCAAGTGCCTATGAACAGATGAATCAATAATGAAATTGTGCTACATTTACACAATGGACTATTATACAACCACAAAAATAATGAAATCCTGCTATTTGCAACAATATAGATAGAACTAGGGGACATTATATTAAGTAAAAGAAGCCAAGAACAGAAAGCCAAATCTCACATGTTCTTATTCATATGTGGGGTCTAAATATTCAAAACAATTGTTCTCGTGGAGACAGAAAGTAGAATGATGGTTACCAGAGGCTGGGAAGTGTAGCAGGGAGGGGGAATAAAGCAGGCATGGTTAATGAGTATAAAAATATAGTTAGATTATTAGACAGAATGAACAATATTTTACAGTATGACAAAGTGAGTTAGAGTATAGTCAACAGTAAGTTAGACTATACTTTAAAATAAAAGAATGGAATTGGAATATGCCTAACACAAAAAAATGATAAATGCCTGAGGTGATAGATTCCCCAATTACCCCGATTTGATTAATTCATATTGTATGCTTTTATCAAAACATCACATAAACCTTATAAAGTTATACAACTATTATGTACGCATAATAATTAAAAATTTAAAAATAAATTAATTTTTAAAAAAGATACCTTCGGTTGTATACTTATCGCAGCACAATTCACAATAGCGAAAATATGGAATCAACCTAAGTGCCCATCAACTGCTGTGTGGATTAATAAAATATGGTATACATATACCAAGAAGTACTACTCAGTGATCAAAATGAAAGAAAAAATTCCTTTTGCAGCAACCTAGATAGACCTGGAGGCCATTATCCTAAGTGGGTAACTCAAGAACACAAAAGTAAATGCCACATGTTTCCAGTTCTCACTTATGAGTAGGAGTTAAACTTTGGCTACACAAGTGCACACAGAGTGGTGTAATGGACATTGGAGACTCACAAAGGGTAAGGATGGGAGGGGCTGAGAGATAGAAAATTATCTATGTGGTACAACTTACACTACTCGGGTGACAGATACACCAAAACCCAGACTTCACCACTATATATACAGGTAATAAAATTCAACTCATAATCCCTAAATGGATTAAAATAAAAAGAGAGAGAGAGAGAGAGAACATCATGATAATCTGGAAGGATTGCACCCTAGAAGATGCCATCATTGTTATAGAAAAAGCCATGAAAGCCATCAAGCTCAAAACAGTAAATTCCTGCTGGAGAAAACTGTGCCCAGATGTTGCACATGAATTCACAGGATTTACAACAGAGCCAATTAAAGAAATCATGAAAGAGATTGTGGGTATGGCAAAAGAAAGTTGAGGGGGGGGTGGATAAAGGATTTCAAGATATGGGAGAAATTCAAGAGCTAACAGACACCACATCAGAGAAATTAACAGAAGATGACCTGCTGGAGGTGAGTGCTTCTGAACTAGTGCCAGAGGATGAGGAATAAGATGCAGAAGCAGCCAGAAAACAAATTGCCATTAGACAACCTGGCAGAAGGGTTTCAATTATTTGAGCCTGCTTTTGACTTCTTTTATGACATAGTCTCTTCTATGATGTGAGAACTGAAACTAAAACAAATAGTGGAGTAAGGATTAGTACCATATAGAAACATTTTTAGAGAAATGAAAAGGCAAAAACGTCAGACAGAAATTATGATGTATTTCCGTAAAATTACACGAAGTGTGCCTTCTGCCTCCCCTTCCATCCTCCTTCACCTCTTTCACCTCAGCCACCCTTGAAACAGCAAGATCAACTCCTCCTCTTCTCCTCCTCCTCAGACTACTCAATGTGAAGGATATGAGGATGAAGACCTTCATGGTGATGACTTCCATTTAATGAGAAGTAAATAT